TCGCCTTCGGTACCAAGAACCGTTTTGCCTCGATCGAACAACGACTTTAGTACATTTCCACATTCGCCAAGTTCTCCGAAGTTCTCTCTTATCTGTCATTGCAGTTGCCAATATCGCTTCTATCGTTTCCTGTTTCTCTCCGCGCTATCTTCATCTTCTCCTGGAAGAATTATCGTCGACGTACGTTCTCTTGCTTGCGTCATTCTTACGTTTCAGCGGGTACCATTGAAAGCTTTACCGATACAGTTGGGAAAAAGTAACGTTTATATCTCCGAGCGACTTGCCATACATACGTCGAGCTTCCAATGTATGTGACTGGACGAGTGTTGTATCTTTCAACGGCGTCCAGAGCTCGGTAAAGACTCGATTAAAAGACAGAGTGGTATTTCATCGAACGATCACGGTTCGAAGCGGATAAAAACCCGATCGCAGATTTCGACACGGCGTTAACGCGTTCGCGCGAATACTTTCCCTGGAACCGATTCGATCCGTGGGAACCCACCGCGTCACGGTGGATTTTTCGCGAGGCAGGAAAATGGCAACCGCTGGCTACCTGCGACACCTGGTCCTCCTGCTGCTCTATAGCAGTCGCCCACGTACCTTACCTATGCAAGTACGCGGGCACGTACGGCTGCGTCACTTGACGCGCGTTTTCAATGCGACAGGCTACGGTATTTCTGCGTGGACTCGGTCCACCGCTCGCTCGCTCGCTCGCTCGCGCCACAGTCCTGAAAGTCGATTCAAGCTTCGCGCGCGAGTTCAGGCCACGGCGTGTACCGAGTCACTCAGGGGATCAGCATAATACGCGGACGACCTACGCATTTTGCCAACGCTGCGCCAACATCGACACGCCCTATCTATATAACGCGCGAGGCTTGTGCCCAGGTGTGCCCGATTTCGAGGATTTTTCCTCCAGCTCCCTTCCCCCGCCCCCTGATTCGCCGTGGTTGCTGCTTCTTCTACGTAGCGGATATTTTCCACGTTGCGCCGCGGCGCTTGGTTGAAATACGCACCAGGAGCATGCAACGTCCTCGTTACGCGAAACGAAACCCTGGCAGAATTTGTTATTCACTCTGTTACGCGAGGTTTTGCAGTGGCATCGACACTGGTTGGGCAGCGATTAATGTAGAAAGTTGCATCGTTCGCTCGAAATTTAGAGCGAGAAAGCGCGCGTGTGCTGCGCTGAAAAATCATTATCGGCCGAAGAGATCGTTTGATTAGGTGCGAGGAAGCGTTAACGATGCGCGTGTAAAATAAGAACGATTGGTTCCTCGCGTGGAGAGTGAACGATACGAAAGTCGCGCATCGCTTTGGCGCACGGGAAATTCGTTGCGAGAGCGTGTAGAAATATTTACTACTTCGACACGTGTACAAATTAGTATTCTCTTCTGTTCAGCCGTTACACGTGTCACTCATTGCGCAATTCAAAGTTGCGAAACGATTTCGATTGAATCGAAAGGAGAGAAGAAGCGTGATAATCCATAGTCTCTCGATAGCGTTCGTTTCAATCCGAAGGAAAGTTCGGATCCCTGTGGCTACCGCTGAATAAAGATAATATTAGGCGGAGCATGCAGCCCGTAGTTTCGTGCACAGTCATCCTTATATGGGGGAGTAAAGGAGAACAATGGTTTTTTCATCTCCGTTCTTCTCGCACGCGGGATTGAAAAAGGAAGTCGACAAATGAATCGTGAATCGGGCTTGTGACTATTGTTAAGACGCCGCGGCTCTATCAATGTTCGTTCGTACCTATACGATTTCAAAACGGTAATTATGTTGGCGCCCACGCACCTCCGCCACCGCCGTGTGTGTACAAAATGGCCGGGCACGCCGCGCTGATGATGATTCCCTCGATCGATATCTGGCCGAACACGGAGGGACACGGACGGAAGCGAGATGAGTTGATCGAGTGTGTCTGCTTCCGTGGCCGCGTTCCGTCAAGCTGTTACCTTGCAAACGCACTGTGAAATTGCTGCGTTGTAGATTATGATACATAGTCTCTGGCTGATACGAAATAGATACCGGGATACACACGCGAAACACCTAATTACGCGATCGTATTTCAT